GTAGGAAGGCTGAATCAGTAGCTGCAGCAGCAGGTATGCGTGAATTCTAATATAATTAATGCTTAACACGGAATCAAAATGCTAATATACAGTAATGTATAACTCTTATTTGTTGACCTACTGTAATTCCGATTTACCATTACTTCTAATTCTTACTTATATAGTGTAGATTAAATATTCGCATTTTGTTAAATAATTTTTCAGCACTTAGAAAAGAAGTTATTTATGTACAGAGGCTGTTTCTGAAAACGTACCAGATTCATTAGCAGTGACGCTAGCAGAAATTCCTGCCTTGAAAGAAATTGCTTATCCTGATGCTGTTAAAAATACAGAACAGTCTGCTGATGAAGTAGATGAACAAGAGGTACTTGAAGAAGACGAGTTTGAAGACCTGCAGTATCATTTGTCAGACAACGAACATTCACCGCGTAATTTAGATGTAAACCTAGGCGGAAGTGATGACAACAATGAGGATTTTAGTGATGCTGATGATGAGGCAGAGGCTGAAACAGATTCAAATGAACAAAATCGCCCAATGCCATCAAACTTTCCGTCAGTAAAGCAAAAAAAATTAATTACAGTATCATCAGGATCTCGTTCAGCAACTACTGCTGCTACTGCTACTACCGAAAAATACAAAATACCATCAAAGGCAATAAAAAAGAGAGTCTTGGGTTACAATGTCAGCGATTTGTCGAATTCGGACTTGTACTCGACCAACGAAGAAAGACCAGAGCACATGTTCCGCAAATCAACCTCTGAAGACTCAGTTGATGAAGGTGTTGATGCCAATGAGGTCTATAAACAATTTATAGCTATTGGTCAGAAGCAAAATCATTGTCAGAAGTGTAAGGGAAGCAACAAAATCCCCCATCCCGGCTTTCATTAACGGGTCCCAATCCCCAGGCACCCGTTAAGGTGGTACTTGGGTGAAAAATCCAAATTCTTTAATTCTTACTATTTAAATTTGATATTTTGGTACAACAATTATATACAGGTAACTATGTCTTTTTTTAAAAAAAAAAAAGAAAAAAAATTACAGAAAACCCTTTTTTGGGTCCAAAGGTCTCAAAATGGTCACTCTGCGGTGCGTCAAATTCAGAAAAAACCACCTGTAGAATGATAACAAAATTTTCACAGTTTGTTTATAGTACAATTTTACAGGTATGGGAGCAGAATTAGCCTGATTACATAACTAGATCTAAGGTAATTAAAATTCAAATACCTTGCTTATAAAAAAGCTTAAAAATAAAACTTTGGGCTTGGGTAACTCTGGACCGAAAAATATTTTTTCAAAAAATGTTGGTTCTAAACCTGTATCTTATAAAAAATAACCACCATATAAAATTTCAAGAGTAAAACTCAAATAAATCAAAAGTTATATGACGCACCGTTCAAAAAATTCAATTTTTAGATAAATGCAATTTAATTAATAATATACTAAAATATCACTAAATTTCTTTCAAATATTCAAAAACAAAAAGATTTTTATGATTGATGACCGTAAATAAAAAATAATAAAAATCTCTCTAATATAAACCATAACCATACTTCATTTCTTCTACATTTATTAGTATTTGTGAAACCTTTTATGAACTCTTTGAATATGCTTTTTTCGATTTCCTTTCCATTGACATTACTCTTTGGTTGTTATTTGAAACAAAACTGTTTGCATAAAATCCTGGAATACCTATGCCCTTTAAAACTTTTAGAGTTCCAGTTGAACTATCATTAAAATTTATAACTGCAGAAGCTACACCTAGGTCAACAGTGGTTTTACAAACGTAGATATCTTTTTGAAACCGTTTCCAAATCATTCCATTTAGTGACTCATTTATATATTAGTTTTTTTGAGTTTTGCCATAAAGATATTTTTTTATAAATTGTCATCACTTAAACTTAAAAAAAACAGGCTTTATTTCTTCAAGGACAACAATTGGTAACTCCTCCCTTATGTTTGCATGTTGCTATACCATTTATTTTGTCAGCCTGATATTTACACCAACTATCAAGAGTACGTGGGCACATTTGATGCCTTCTATATTCTAATAATATGTTTTGCTTAAGAGCAATGGAAAAGCACTGTTCTAATTACTTTTTTCATCCACAGAGTTTTTCTAAACTGGTATAACTTTTTCCAATTTCTCTCATATCAAAAACAAAATGAACATAAACCTCAAACAGGTCTACCACGACTGCTTTTGCATTTACATTCTTTACTTGAATGAAAGGTTGTACACTAACAACAACTTGAACATTGTAACAATAATGGTATAGACAAGCCTTGCTTTCTCAAGACGTTAAATGTTCGACTCATAGTCTTTTTGTCACATTCAGGGCATGTTACAACTAAATAAATAATTTCCATAAAAATGTCAATAGAAAAAAGTATAAAAATCGATAATATACAGTTGGGTTTGAAGAATTTACACAAGTAAACAAACTGGTGTCATTGGTGAATGAAGATGATGCAAACTTTATTGGTCTGGTTTCATTAGTGATTATAAAAGGTAATGTTGTATCTGATGATAAATATGACAGATTTATTTGAAGAAATAGGTAAGTTAGAAGGAGGAATCTCAATTGGTTCTTCTTGTGTTTTTTTTTGTGTGTGTTGGTTACCTTTAAATGTCCGTTTAGAAAATGCTTTTGAGTGGCCAGACTTTCTTTCTAACATAGCTCGACTTTTTTTTTAATTTTAATTATTATTACAACTATAAAGAATAAAAAAACAATAATAACAAAAAAGTGTAACTAAGCCTAATTTTTTTTTCATTGTTGTTGTTTTTTAATAATGAACATAATAGTTAAATAACTTGAATAAAAAAAGAAAATAATAACAAATAAAAAACCAATTAAGTTAACTATAACAAAGCTAAAAAAAAAAGATAAAAAACCATGTAACTAAATCAAATAAACGATGATTAAAAACATAAACAGATATTATTTCACTTGCAGCTTTTCAACTTTTAAACAATTTAAATGCCATGTAACACATGTATTTAATTGGTGACTTTTTGTATGAAGTTTATATTTCTGTAAAACAATTTAATGACTTTAAAGCAAACCAACTATAGGTTTTTAAACATAATTTTACAGGCTTTCAAGAAATCAAAATTGGTTGCTATGGGCGTTGCTACGAAAGTTGAGTTTGGAGTTTAAGATTGCCTTTTTTAAAATGGAAAGTTAAGTATCATCTGAATTATTTTAAATGAAACAAATTACTTAGGCGTTTTCAGCATAGCTTAGTTTACTTAAAAACATTCACTTTGGAATTTTCAATTTTTACTTTTTTTTCACCCAAGTACCACCTTAATGAAAGCCGAAGCATACAAAATTCTGCTTGCTTTTCAGCATGCCGTAATGTTGCTTGTTGGCTCTGGGCACAATTCGAAGGTGCCAAAAGAACACCTCAGGAAAGCAAGAGAGAATTTATTGTATTTAGTTGAGAAGTGTCAAAAGTTGTATGGCGCTGACTTCCCACGTTATACGTTTCATTGCTTGCTGCATATTGTCGATGATTTGATTGCGAATAATTGTCGACTTGAGTATTGCTGCATTTTTCGGTACGAGAACTTGATGAAAGTCTTTATCCATGTGCTCGATGGAAGAGGCGGACATCGTGTCCATGCACAAATCCGCAACAGTTTGATGCGGAAAAAGATTTCAAACATTGTTCTGCCGCCAATGTGAGTTTTAATTCCAATTCAACTTAGACTTATTTATTTCTGACTTTAATTTTGAAAAGTGTAATTCTTACTTACTTATTTTATCATAATTCTGACTTTTTATAAACAGTTGTCAAAGAAGACGTGCTCTACTAAAAGGTGGACAAACAGGAGCAGAAACAAGCATTATACACCTTTCGAACTTCAATGAGAATGATTTTGGTGTTATCAACACAATTTCTACTGACCATCCATCAAATATATTTTATCAAATGGGAGAGGAAGGAAACAAACCGAATGCCTATGAACTCCAAGTAACGCGCCATATGAAACGGTTAATTTTTCGGGACTTTACGATCTCCAACAAATACCCGAACAATGTTGTTCTCGTCAACAGTTTAATTGGCAAACCTAAAGTCTGCGTTGTTTCCGACATGCAATATGATGGCGTTGAGGACAAATTTAATGTTTCAATTTCTCCTTTCAAAAAACAAGGAGATTTCTTTGAAGGATATCTGTGCAATTCATCAGATTTCAATATTTTTCTCGTTTCTGGAGATTTAAATCATGACAGAAAACGCGAAGTTAATGCAGACTGCATAGAAAATCAGTTCGTCTGCCTCTTATATGAGAAAGAAGTTACTGACATTGATATCAATGCAAAAGAACAAATTCAATTTAACACAAAAAATGCACAGTGGGTATGCACTTCTTTGTTCCATGTTATAAATAGTCAGTAAATCTATTTTTCCATGTATTTAATATAATAAAGATAATAATAAGGTAAAAACATTTGTGTATTAAATTAAAAATGCGGAAACGAAATTCTTACTTATTTGGACTTACAAAAATTTTGAATCAATCCAATCTGTATCGGGAGACTTCATATAAATAGAGAAGAAAACAAAAAGTTCTAGAGTAAAGGTTCTAAATTTAGACTATGCAGGCCCGTAACCAGAACTTTTTGAAGGTAGGGGAAAGTCTTTTTTAAAAAGACGCCAAATGTAAAATTAAAATAAAGGTGCCCAACAGCAATATTTTTTTAGCACCTAATAATCATATATTTTCGATAAGATTCAAAAATTCAATTAAATTACATCATTATTTTTTTAAAGATGCGCTCTTTTTATGGTGTGTACTAAAATGTTTTTTGAATATATGCTAAAATAATTTTTTACTTCGTTGAAATATTATATTTAAATCTTTGAGGCGCTAAATAGGACAAGACGCGGGGAGCACATGCTCCTCCTTTCACCCCCTCCTCTACCTGCTATATATGTTCCAATAATTATTTCAATTGTTGTTTGTACTATTCTACACTTGATTTAGATTAATATATTACAAAAAGAATTTTATTACACAAGGTTCCTACTCTTATGTTATTGGCTGTAAAACAAAACTTACATAGACTTACATGACTTAGAAGTCTGCAACAATTAGTGTAAATACTATTCAAGCTGATAATATAATAAACTGAAAGAAAAAAACATTTTTAACCAAAACCACTTAAACTTCAAAATAGAAAATATGTTCAAGAACTAAAATGTCTGTCTTTCTCCATGAAACGTTTATACGCTTTTTTGCCAACTTTCATGGCAGCTTTTTTGGCAGCTTTTTCGAACACTTTCTTCTTCTCTTCTTCGACTTCTTCTTCTATTTAAAAAAAATGTCAACAGCTCTAATTTTTTTCTTAGTGTATTGATTTAAAATCAAAATTTACCTTTGGTTTTGGTATTACCTGAACTTCCTCAACTACGCCCTCTTCACTAGTTTCGCTAACTTCGCTATCTGAGAATTGCACTGGACTAACTAAGAATAGCACCGAATCTTTATCACTTTCTGTCCCTTCGTCACTCTTTTCTTCTTCGTCATTGCTGCTATTGCTCGCATCAATGTTATCACCTTCGGTTTCACTCTCGTCAGTATCATCACATGCTCGTGGACGCTTTTTCTTGGAAATAGTTGAACTTTGACCAGATTGTTTATTGCCACAACCTGGAGGTGAATCGTCTTCTGGCGCACCAATATCGTCATCATCCGCGTGGTAGGCTCAAATTTGTAGGTACATGGAACGTGCCTGCATGTGTATCAAATTTTGTAATCAGTTAGTAGGAATTACAAATTTGAGTTATATCAAAATTAGATTTCGCCCACAAAAAAAAAAGGAAAAGTTTAAGAAATAGAGGATTTTTAGAAATATAACATTTATAATCACTTCGATCTTGCCTGCTGCATATTAAATAGAATAACAAAGTATTAAAAAATGACTTATCTCAATCAATTGGTTTGTCATCGCCAGACAATCCAAGAATGAAACTCCTTCAGACATATTATTAATCGCACTTTCTTCAATACGTTGAAAGCGATGAGCAAACGAACAATAATTCAAAAACTCCCTCCTCGGTTTCTCATTGACTCTTCGATTTGGTCGTCTACAACTTCCACCAGCAGTTTTTTCTACTGTATTATTTTTCTTCACGAATTTCTTCGCCTTTTTCTTAGCAGCTGCAGAAGATTTCTTCGATTTATTTCGACTTGTTCGGCCCAATTTGTTACCAGCAGATCCTTCAGCTTCGTTTTGACAAATAGCACTTCTATTGGAGCAAATGAAGCACGTATTTCGTCGGACTTTCTGATCTTCTTTGAAATCTGCTTGATTAAATTCCGGTCCCTGGTCTATATCTTCAGAAAACATTGCCAAACACAATCTGCCGGGATACGCTGAAGAGGAGTCTTGAAAGTCCGTAATATACATTCCAGTAGTATATCTTCTGACGCTGACAGCCCTAGCTTTCTTAATTTCTTTATTCATTTTGAATGTTGACAGTGGTTTCTTTTCACTCAGCATTGCACGTCGCCGAATGATGTGGTAAATCATTTGGGTCAATCTCGGAAAACGTGATTTAAACAACAGCAATTTCTTCTTCTCCCCATCTTTCCTACCAAACTCTTTGAAGCCATCTTCCCTGCATTCATCAATGCTGGCCCAGGCAATGAGGCTGGATAAGCTTGGGGTAAAAAACTTATCCCACACGAACCCAGCCACCATTCCCACTGGGCCACCAGCAACCGAATTCGTAATGAAAATTATTAACAAGAAGCTGACATAATCAGCATTCTTGAACATTTCTTCGGCAACGCATAAATCGCCAATTTTTGACAAAGGTAATTGGCAAATTTTTTGAATTTCGCTTGCCATGGAGAAGTAAAAATCACTGTTCCCATCGATTGTTAAAAACCTCCTATCGCGATTGAGAGTTGAAACCAAAAGCTAAAATTGATTTTTCAATAGTTTTTGGTCAACCTGAATGTCTTTGACGGTTGTTAGCAGATTTAACAAAATTCCACTTCCAGACGGATTTTCATTCATATACTTGATGACCGAAGCGCATGTGTTATTGAGATCAAAATTGCTGACTTGACTGCTGGTCACCATATTTTCAGTGCTCATAGTTGAAAATAGATCTTGAATTTCTTTGTCCCGGGGTATGGCAACAACAGGAACAGAGGTATAACCTCGGGTTGGAACAATTAATATAGTTGGAGATGGAGTTTTGCGGACAGCAGTCACTATGCTCTTATTATGTACAATAGGTTTCAGAATTGCTGGTTGTTGTAAAGGAATTGAAAAGTCGAATGAAGTCGGTTGAGCAAAATCAGATCCACTGTCACTTTTCGTTTCTGCATAATTAATTACAGCAGAACCAACATTGCGTCTACTGGCCCTGGTTTCTTGTTGAATAATTGGTGAAGCAACTGCGGATGGTGGTGGTAGGAGATTTCGTTCAACAACAACATCAAGAACTTCTTGCCCTTGATTAGTCAATTCTATATCTGAGCTGCTTGGAATACTGCCAGGTTGAGGACTGTCAAAGTCAGAGTCACACAACCTTTGACTGCAATGTGTTCCTGAAATTGAATCCACAAAAGCTTGCAATTTTGGACCAGCTTCGTCATCTTCTGTAAAATTTAAAATATTAAAATGAGTATATTTCGGAACACAGAATTAGGAGAAAAAATCGTTTCATGAAACTCAGAATTAGTAGAAAAATTAAATTTATATAACCCAGAATTAGGAAGTAAATTATAATTTCATGCAAATTATAATTGAGGAAAAATACTAACCTTTCGGAAATAAGTTAATTTGTTTCATCGCTTTGTCTGATTTGTAAGATATAACAGAAGCCAATTTTTGTTTCGCTGATACTGGTGGAGTTTTCATTTTTATGGTCTGCTGCTTTCTCAATTCTGTTTTCTCAAGCAATTTTTTTGAATCCTTGGGATCTTTTTCTGCCAATTTATTACCCTTCGCCAGCTTTTTATACTTCGGTTCTAATTTGTCAGCAGAGGACATCACCTCATCAAAAAACTTGCGCTTCAAAGATCGAGATTGACTGGTAGGAGCATCTTGGTCAAAAATGTTCATTGCAGATGGTAATTTTCTGTCAACAGCTTTTATCCCACTTTTCACTAGAAGCTTTTTGAATGTGTTAGTTGCTTGTTTCTCCGACGGTTTAGATTTGTTGCTCGGCGCCTCGGAATCACTCAAAACTCGACGCATTAGTATTTTCTTACAATTTCCCATAAATTGCTTCCAATTCGTTGCTGAAAACAAAAAGGAAAGAAGAAAAATGAATTGTAATACAATCATTACTCATGGTTCACCAATAAAGGAGTAAAACTCATTATGTAATTAAATCTGTTCAGCTGAACAGATTTACTTATTATTTGAAATGTTCAGACACAAAATGGCATTCCATTTGTGGCTACCATTTTTTGTTGATTATAATACATTTTTAAAGTGCACATTTTGTTCAATAATACAATCATCAAATCTACAGAAAATATTAGCACCAAACAGATTTCGAATTTGTGCCTTGCAAAAAATGAATATTTGTAATGAAAATACATGGATTTCTAAGAAGTTTTATGGCTTCAAAGATAGATACACGTAACAAGCAATGCATTTTATTTTTATTTGAAAGAGTCTTAATTTTTTCAAGAGCATATTGTTCAAATTTACAGTAAAATTATTATTTATTTTTGACAGGTTTCAAAATCATTTTAATTTTAGGCCATATATAACTCTCTCAAACAAAAATACATTTCATACATAAAAGAATCTTATGGAATTCAAATTATACTTACGATTTCGAATGTTGAATTTTGTGCCACTCGATGGGTAACACAAATATTCTTTAAAATTGATCCTCGGAAACCAGTCCTTGGTGTGAAACTTTTCAATCGTAGTAAAAGTGTAGGCATCATCAGGAGGGAACAAAATGAAATTGCCACACTCTGATTGCCATACAGACGAAATTGGAGTGGTGTAGAAAGTAGCTGCACTGCTACGTAAATTTTCTGGCTTTCCATTATATTCAGAAGGAACAGGAATAATATTTAAAGAATTTACAACCGCCCACGCATGTTTTTTATTGCGCTCATAACGAGCGTCGCAATCAAAATTATCTCCAATCATTTCTTTCAACATGTATTTTCCACAAAATCTCTTCGGATCGTTAGCTAAGATCCTTTTTACAAGTGATCTAGACGCACGATTGGTTTTCCATCACTATCGAAGGCTTTTTCAGTCATATTTCAATTTTTTAGAAAACCTGTGAAATAAGTTTTAAAATATAAATGAAAATTATAACAATTCAAACAGAAAAAGTCACTACAAAACTGAATTTACACAAAAATAAGGTACTGGGTAAAATATTAACTGCAAACTATTTATATTTTACGTACAATATCGTGTGCAAAAATTTGAACTTTGTTGCAAACAAATCGTCATCATTTGTGAATGATGTACTATTTTATTTATCGTTTACTGTCAAATAAATAATTTAGCGTTATGTTGAAAAAACGATTTAAAATAATATAGGAAAATTAAGTGAAACTAGACTAATACAATATGAATGAAATAAATGAAAAGTTGATAAAAAAATCCGGAAAATATGCATAACGAAATAAAAAATTCTTCATAACTCTCCTACAAAATTATATATCAAAAGGAACATTCAAAAAGAGGAAATAATATTGAAAACAAAACATTCAATGTACACTTTGTGCTATAACTATAAATATATACTATACACATGTTTTAATTGTTAAATAATTAGTTAAAACTTTCTACATATATAATTTTTACAATTTAACTATAAAGTTTTCTAAATAAAGTTTTTGTACTTAAAGAAATATGTGTTGCCTATCATTTAAAAGTATTTACAGTTTCAATTTAATATTTATTTACTTATTTCAAAGAGAGAAAAACAAAGTGCCTGAAAACATAGGGCTTTATATATATATATATATATATATATATATATATATATATATATATATATATATATATATATATATATATATATATATATATATATATATATATATATATAGTATATATTACTGTTACCTGCAGTACCAGGAATTAGCTAAATAGGAGGCAGCAGAATATACTTTTTACTACTTGCCTTATGATTGTGATAACATTTCAAACTCGGATTCACACATAATAATTCCTGGTATCAGTAATATATATTATATAGCTCTAGTATATAGTGTCTATGTATATATACTATATAGCTCTACTATATAGTGTCTAGTGTAATGCATATACAGTATTATACATGACAATACAAAGATATTATCTTTAATATCCACATATATGCACTTACATATATGTACATGTTTACATATACATATATATATATATATATATATATATATATATATATATATATATATATATATATATATATATATATATATATATATATATATATATATATATATTATATATATATATATATATATATATATATATATTATATACATATAAATATATATATATATATACATATATATATATATATATATATATATATATATATATATATATATATATATACATATATATATATATATATATATATATATATATATATATATATATATATATATATATATATATATATATATATATATATATATATATATATATATATATATATATATATATATATATATATATATATATATATATATATATATATTATATATATACATAAATATATATAAATATATATATATATATATATATATATATACATATATATATATATATATATATATATATATATATATATATATATATATATATATATATATATATATATATATATATATATATTGTTGTTAATTATTAAGAATATTTTAACCTTATTTTAAAATACTGAAATATTTATATCTTATTTAAAATATTTTTATCTTATTTATTTTTTATATATATGATTATTATATATATAAAAAAGAATAAAATAAGATAAAAATATTTTTATCTTATTTTATTCTTTTTTATATATATAATAATTATATATATAAAAAAGAATAAGATATAAATATTTTAGTATTTTAAAATAAGGTTAAAATATTCTTAATAATTAACAACAGAGACTCATATATAATATATATGATATAATATATATGAGTCTCTGTTGTTAATTATTAAGAATATTTTTACTAATATTTTTTTTAATATTTTTATTTTTCTTTTTATTACTGGTAATAAAAAGAATAATAAGGTAAAAACATTTATGTATTGAAATGCGGAAACATAATTATTACTTATATGGACTTGAAAAGATTTTGAATCTATCCTATTAACTCGAAATTAATGCGAAATATTTATTTAACTTCTAATTCCCACTAATCAGCCTTAAAAAAGATTTTATATTCGAAAATCGTCAAAAAATTGCTCTAATTCCGACTTATAATAGGTTTTTCGCACTTTTTTGAGTCTAATTCCGAGTTGCGTTCTATTAAGGGTTCAGAGAACTGAAACCATATTAGAGGTAAAGATAGAACTACCAGCTAAACGGAAGCAGAAGACACCAACGATGTTAGATGAACATGCAGAAGACAAACGTGACGAATCTAAAGCTTTAGAACACTACAAAATTCACACTTACAATGTGGTGATGGATCAGGTAGTCCAAAGTCTTGAGTCACGTTTCACTTCACATCGACAATTATATATGGACATGGCATGTTTTGATACATCAAACTTTGGTGATCTTGCCATTTCGGGAATTCCTGAAAACAGTTTACACCGCATTATCAAGTTTTTACCAGATGCCGACGTTGATAAAATAAAGGCCGAATTGTTATCATTTGTCACTAACTATGAGATTTTGAAATTGTCCTTGCCCTTAACAACAACATTGAGAGAGAATGCATATCAAAAGGATTACATAGAAGAACCGCTCTGTTATCAGCATACAAATGGAGCATGCGGATCGTGTCCATCTTGTGTGTTACGAATTCTTGCTGCATATAGACTCAACGACAAAACCTATGACAATTTGTATCATATTTATGAAATAATATGTACTATTTCTGTAACACAAGCCGAATGTGAAAGATCGTTTTCTAAGTTAAAGTTAATCAAGACAAGATTGCGTAATTCTATGTCAAATGACCACTTAGAGTCGTATATGTTGATGTCTGTAGAAAAAAATCTACTTGATAGCCTTAGGTATGATACGATCATTCAAAGATATGCATCTTCGTCCTCTGAATTGAGCAAACTGTTTAAAGAATAGTTATTGCTATACTTTGCACTGTGCAAATTGAACATCACTTCTACTTTTTTAATTCAATATAATTTTATTAATCTGTGATTTAATTGCTCCTCTTAAGACTTATTTTTAGAGAGTTGCGAACCGGACAGTCTTTGCGATATATGTATGGCCGGGAGGGCCCTTTAAATATTTTCATGGCCGGTAATATATATACAGCCAGTCCGCCACTGCTAGTGATGTGGAATAAAATAATAACAATTTTTTGTATTTAGATACTTGTAATTTTAAAAGAAAAACACTTTTTTATGAAAAAAAGTGTATTTTTGTGAGGTGTAGGTGGTGGGTTAGCACCCCCCCCCCCGATCCGTGGATGCGCTTGACCTAAAATTTAATTAAAAACTATAGCCCTTTTTTACACCTATCTTTTGATACCAAGTTATAGATATTTGAATAAGAATTAGCAAAGTTATAACAGTTTATGTAAAAAAAAAATTTTTTTGACCACAGTTCTATCAAGAAATCCATATATCAAAAATTTGCTACTTAAAACGTCATAACTTTTGATAGAATTGTCTGATTTTCATAATTTTTTCACCTTTGAAATACTGTATTTGAGGGCTTTCTAATGAAATATAACACTCTAGTATTTATCAATTTAAAAAAATCAGTCCCAAAACCTACTACATCCAAAGCGTGGGACTTCATGTGACAAGTTATCTTGAACGATTCAAAAAACCAAGTTAATCAAAACTTTTTATTAAGTAATCAGTTGTACTGAAAATACTGTTTTGAAGAACAATCACATGTCGATGAAGTTTGTTTATCAAAGGTTTATGCTACTTCAACTATGACATCCTCTTGTAATCATCTAAACCATGCTGTTTTTAAACATGGAAAGACTTTTGAGCAACCAGTTAATTCTAAAATTACTAATTGGATCCATACTGTACAACATAATAAACCAGCACAAAGTCAATTTGAATTCAATAGACATCTTTGTCTGTTAATATGTTCAGATCTTAAGCCATTCACCTTAGTTGAAAGATCTGGGTTTAAAAATTTTTGTTTGAAAAATATAGCGTTTCAGCCTCCATCATCTGACTGTTTATTTGGATCTTCCCTACAAAATATTTATACTTCTGTTAAGCAAAAAGTATTAGAAGTTTTACAATCATGTGTAAGTGGAACATTGATGATGGATGGTTGGATTGGCTAGCATAATCGTTTACCTTATTTTATGAATTCGTTTAAGTGTTGTGCATGATTTCAGATTTAAAATTTTTACATTGGCTGTTCAGCCAGTGGAGTCGCACACTTCTGAGCAACTTTATCAAATTATTAAAACTGTTTTAAAAAAATTTTTACCTAAAGATAAGCATTTTTTATTATTTAACATAACTGATGGTGCAGCTAATATGAAAAAATTATCAAAGCTATTAGGCCATGAACGAGTAACATTCACCGCACATGGAATTCGTCTGCTTTTAACCTCAGATAGCTTAAATAAATTTCCAGAATTAACTTTACTAGTAAGCAAATGCAAAGAAGTAATAAAAGCTTTACATTTTAAGGGATATATGCTATCAAATAAAATTGAAACTGTGAAAGATGAGGAGTTGTACGAAAGAATTACAACTCATGTTGACCAGCTAACAGCTGATGAAGAGAATCCAATTCTGGATTTTGAAATTGAAACTGAAAATGTAAGCATTCTTCCACAAACACAGCTAACTAAACCTGTTAGTCAGGCTGATGAAGAGTATTTACTTCTGGATTTTGACATACAAACTAAAAATAAAAAAATTTATCCAATAACAAAGTTACGTAAATGTCATGAGCGCAGTTCTTTAAAAAATAGTGTCCCAACAAGATGGAATAGTACTCTTGAAATGATTGAATCTATCTTAGATCTAAACACTCATGATGATACAGTGTTAAAAAAAATTGGAAAGTTTGATTTATGTTTTCTTACTGAAGATTTAGAACTTCTGCAGAAACTGCGCAATTTTTTATGTCCATTTCGAGAACTGACTCTACTTGTTAGCAAGGGAACACCAAATTTGTCTTGCCTTCCACTTATGGTAACTAAAATTAAAAATTGTTGCATTTTTTAAGTCACAGATTCTTCTGCTATAAAACGATATAAAAAGTTAGTTGGAAAATGCATATATGTGTATGTATATAATAGCCAGCTAAGCAGCCAAAGAAATATGTCGGCTAGCCAGCGACAATAATGTA